CCTGGACAACAAGAGCAAAACTGTCTGAACCAGGGAGGCGGAGGTTGTGGTGAGCTGAGAGTGCGCCATTGCACTCCAGCCTGGGCAACAAAAGCAAAAAAAAAAAAAAAAAAAAAAAAAAAGGAAAGGAGCTGGGGTGGGGAGGGAGAGGAAGGATAAATTAACCACATAAAAGAGAGGGGATAATTAAAATGAGAAATTCTGAGAAGACAGAAGGAGATTGAACCTGTGTAGTGAAGGTATAGGAGAAGGTAAATCTCTTCCTTTACACAATAGAAGAAGTAAATGTTGACATGAATGTGAATAAACTTGTATACAGCATTTGATTGTGGGAAATCTATTGTGTTAACTTACTGCCATTGGGAATAGGAGTTAAGTTTATCTGCTTTGAGAAAGGAGGATATAAGATTAAGGAGAGAGGAGAAAGTGTAAAAGCCATTGTAGAAAATAAGAAAAAGAAAACATAGTAAGATTGTAGGGCAATGCTAAACACCTGCTTGCAACTGGCAGCTTCACGTTTATTGTGGTGGCCAACTATTCACATATGCTGTAGTCTGATTGCCCACTCATGGGGAGTGGAGTTTTAGGGTATAGTCTGATTTCCACGTAGCCAAAAAATTTGAGGGAATTTTCAGTGAGGTTGTTGGTAATGCCTTGTAGAGCCACAGAAAGCCCAAGTTTTTCTCTGTTCCAAAGTGGTGGCTGTGGTGATCATACCCCTATCATCTATCCCATAGCACAGTAGTAATTTTCAATCTTTATCAGCTCCAGACATCTGTCACCCCAGTCCTGGGAGGAATTCCATCTTATACTTGTATTTCTCTCTCTTCTGGAATTTTCCTTTCACACTGTCAGTGACAAGGCAGGAGCAAACTCCTGAATTATGAACAGGAACACATTGTGTCTCCAGGACAGAGAAGCAGTGGAACCAGAACTCCAGCATCTTAGAGTAACTGAGACTGTGTGGAAGTCCAGTGACATCATCACAAAAAAAAGCTCAAGTAAATTTAGTGTCAACATTATTAGCACAAAATTGCACAAATTTAGTGCAAAAAAGCTCCCCTTGGCTAACGATTAAGCAATATCCCTCACCTGAAGTCGCAGATACTTAATAAGCAGTTGGGTAACATCAGACACAAATCTTGTCCTATTAGAGCCTATGTTTTTTTTTTTTCCCCTACAATATAACATGTGATAGAACATCTTAATAGAGACTCAAGTTCTTATTAACATAATAAGCAAAACATTACCCTTCCTACCATGTCAACAAACCAAAGTATATTTTCCTTTCACTTTCTCAGCTATCATAATATATTGCCAAATATTTTGGAATAGAAAAGTGTAGAACTTAATTTGAAACTCTTCCACCAAGTATGTACCTTAAATCTGGCATATATTTTGTTATTCTTACATAACATATGTTTCTTCTCCCTCACATCTTTTGTAAGAGAGAGATTTGTTATGAATATACATAATCCTTGTTTGTCCTTTTGCAAAGAATGGAATTTCTGGGATTGGTGCTAAATTCCAGGTTTCAGTCTTTAAAAATCCTGGACTTGAAGTAGGAATTCATGTTAACCAAAATAAAGTATCTCTTGGTCATAACAAAGGCCTTTCAATGAAAAAAGAAGCCTGCTGAAACTTGTTAATTTCTTTGTTGCCACCCTTTCATGTAATTTCTCAGGCACAGGTCTGAAAGTGGTTTTGAGCTTAAATTCAAAGTTTGGAAAAAGGCAATTGAGTTATGCTTATTATTAATTCTAGCCTTACTGCAAGGAACTTAACAGAGAAGCTAATTTGTTGAAAATCAGCCTAAGTGTTTTGAGTTAGAAGACATTTCTAGACTCATTGACTGAAAATAATTTCATGATTGTTTAAATTTGGATGCTGGAGAGATTACTTCATCAAAGAGAGGTTGACCAAGTGGTAAATTTAATGAGGTTTCCCTAAAAAATGCACAATCGCAATTGATAATAAGAGAACAATATTATGATCAATTTTATGATCAGAATTATGATCAAAATTATGAACAATATTATGATTAGTCATGGCAAACCATGACCTCACATTTTACTAACATATAGGTCCTTTTCATTAAAGTGCTATAGTTTAATGAACCCAAACATTTCTTAGATGCTTTGCTATTTCTTAAAAGTGATGAAATCTTGGTATAGGCAGACTTTAAAACAAATGTAACACATATAAGCTCTCTGAAGACTTCAGTCATATTCAGTAATGCGTGGGCAGCTCCTGAAACCATTTTCATTGTATCCCTCTCTTGTTCAAGGATATGGGTGCTACTTTTTGCAAACTCTTCAACCTAGCATTCAAAGTTTTCCTACCAGTCTACTGCCTCTACCTAGTGAGTTCCCTTCCCTCTGCTCTCCTTACTAGGCCCCTCACAACCATCAAAACAATTTGCTGCTTTTTCCTACATAGAACTGATTTTTCTTGCCTCCCTATCTTGGAATATGCCATCCCTTTTGCTTCTTTTTTTTGTGTGCCAACTCATGTTCCCTATCACAAGTTAAATTACCTTTTTTTTGCTCTTTACTTTTTAGAGACAGGGTCTTGCTTTGTTGCCCAAGCTGGAATGCAGTGGTGTGATCATAGCTCACTATAACCTCAAACTCTTGGGCTCAAGCAGTCCTCCCACCTCAGCCTCTTGCATATCTAGAATTGCAGGCACGTCATTGTACCTGTTTAATTTACTTTTTAAAAAATTTTTGTAGAGACAGGGTCTCACTATTTATTTTTGTAGAGACAGGTTGCCCAGGCTGGTCTTGAACTCCTGGCCTCATACAATCCTTCTGCTTTGGCCTTTCAAAGTGTTGGGATTACAGATGTGAGCCACAATGCTTGGCTTTTTTTTTTTTTTTTTTTCCTAAATAACAAATAAAGTTAATAATTAGTTCCATGTGGCTCTTCAAAATAATGAGTTCATGTAGCTCTCTTTACCTCTGCTATATTTATATGTGAAATGCAAAGTAATACATTGTGTTATTATTTTTGGAATTTTGGCCAAGTCATTTAAATTCATTCTGTATCTATATTGAGAATAGGACCAATGCTAGGTAATGAGTTTGTTGTCATGAGCAAACAAGATAATGTATGTGAAGCATTTAGAATGGGTGCAGGCACATGGTAAGTTCTCACTGTTATTATTATTGCACTAAAGCAAACACTTATATTCTTTGCACAAAGAGACTGAATCTTTTCTAAGTTCATCCAGAATAATGCCACTTTTGTGCTCAGTTCATCCAGCATAATGCCTCTTTCAGGAAGAACTTAGAGAACTCTCTAGACAGCAAAGAATACTGAGACCTATATCCCTTACTAATTAGCATGTTTTAGTCATATGTATTTCGTCTCTATCCTTGGGCTACTTGAATTTCAGTATCTTTAAAAATATTAGATGATGCCAAATTGTTGATGGCTGTTAATTTTAATACAATGGGGGTAATCTATTTTTGGCACTCAATACAGTGGCTGGCAGGCAGGGTGCATTCAATAAAAGTTGTTACTATTATTACTTTTTTTTTTTTTTGAGACGAAGTCTCATTCTGTCGCCCTGGAGTACAGTGGCGCGATCTCGGCTTACTGTAACTTCCACCTCCTGGGTTCAAGCAACTCTCTACCTCAGCCTCCCGAGTAGCTGGGATTACAGGTGCCTGCCACCACACCCAGGCAATTTTTGTAATTTTAGTAAAGATGAGGTTTCACCATGTTGGCCAGGCTGGTCTTGAACTCCTGACTTCATGATCCACTCACCTCGACTTCCCAAAGTGCTGGGATTACAGGCGTGAGCCACTGCGTCTGGCCTATTATTACTTTTGATGGGTTATCAGTGTCTGAGGTTTTTTTCTCCTTTTTGTTTTCCCAAATTCAGTGATTAAATTGCATTAAAAAATAAGGCCCAAAATATCTTTTAAAACGTGTCAGAATACATTCATTGAACAAAAACAAGTTAGTAATACCCTAAAGATTGTGTCTATATCACTTAAAATTTGCAATTCATGATATCATAATTTTTGAGATGACCTTTTTAAATCAGGAAAGCTAACTGAAAGTGAAGTGTCTTACCAGATGTTTTCATTAAAATTTTGTTAGCCCATCTGTGAAAATCTTCAAGACGAATTAAAAATGTACTTAGCAACAATTAAAGGCTTAGCATTGTATTATGTTAATTCTCAAGAATGGTTTGTAAAATATTAAAATCCAAAAATTGGTTCTCAACATATTTTGCAAGCTGCTATGTTAGATTACTTTAAATTCATATTTTAAAAACACAATACTGTTCTGAAGAAAACCAAAAATCTTTAGTAAAATCCTTTATTTAATAAGTTGTCACAGATATTTTATCCTTTAAAAAGGACAGCTTCAACACAGCAAAATTTTTCAGTGTGCTAAAATAGTAAAACACATGAAAGCAATAACTTGGTACCAAAAAAGGTCTGCAAAGACATTTTTTTTTTAATTGAGTTTCTTCCTTTGGGAATTTCATAAGTTGCTTCTTGTACACAAACATTAGCAATAATTTACCTTTGTTATAACTTTAAAAATAATTTAACAAAATCATTATTTTATTATTGTCCTTGTCACATCATTTTGATAGACTTGTTTTTGAGATACTACTTTTGCCAAATATCTTCATATTTTTGTCTTGCATAACATTGTTTTAGAATGCAATTGGGAGCTGATTCCTAATATTTTGTCTAACTATCTCGGGAGTGTCATACTTTTGAACTTTGGATTGCAGTTTGCACCTCTCTGGTTGCTCCACAGTTCAACTTAGCCTGAGTCGGTGGATGGGTATCGGACCTGAACATGGAGTGGGGTTTATTCAAGACAGTTTTCCCAGGAGTGAGGCAGGAGCCAAAAACTCAGCAACAAACAGGAGGTGGGATTAACCTGCAGAGCTCACGACGGCCTGAACTGATTGGCAGGAACGAAGTGGGTGGAGCTTCCTGACCTGCCTTCCTACTTCCGTTGCTAAGGACGCTTCGGCCGAGGCTACCGCCATGGATCAGGAAGAGGGGCTGAAGGCCGTGGACAATATCGTCACTCAGTTCAACACCTACGAAGATTTCCTGGACTCGCAGATCACTACCGTGGACTTGTACTACCTGGAGGTAAGGAGGTAAGGGCGAAGCGCGGCAGAGTAGCCGCCATCCCGCGTCCCTCGGTCCCTCCTCGAGTTCCTGCTTCGTAGGCTGGTCGCCCCCTGGGGCTGAACAGCTCAGCTGTCAGGCTCCGCGGTTTTGGGACGGCGACACCCGCTGGGGAGGTGAATTGCTGGGCCCTTCCTGCCCTGCACTCCTCCGTCCGGACCGAACTTGGGCCCCTGGAGTTATACAGAGCAGAAACGCGCGGGCACACGCACGCTGGGGAGCCATGAATTTGTGCTTCTCGGCCTCCCCTGCCTCCTCCCAGCCCACTCCCCTTCCAAAGCCGCTCTCTGAGAGGAAGGAGGCCTGCTGAGACGTCTCCGGCTGAGATCCAGGACAGACACTTGTTTCTCTTTGCCTTGCCAATTGATATATTAAAGAACATAAGATGGTATCTTTATACCAACCTAGTGTATTTGGTGTCATATTGGGCATTTGGGTTCATGAACTTCCACCTCATGGCAATTGATTCTGAAAGTCCTTTCATTATAGACACCCATTACAGGTAATTGTGCAGACAAATTCCTGATTCAAGTTTATCAAGTTGCTGATCACAACTAACGCTGAGAGTAAAAATATACACACAAAAAAGGCACAAAATTGTATCTACTGGGTTGCTGTTCTCTGCCTAACAGCCAACTTCCCCTCCTCAGCTACCCCCGCTGCATGGTGGTGGGGGACAGAGTAGAGGTCTAGTCCTCTGCCAGGGGAAAACCCGGACTCGCGGGAGTTAACAAGCCACCAGTGCTGGGAAGCTGGGAGGTGGACAGTGGCTCCCAGAGTCCCAATATATTCCTAGCCAAACTCCCCAGACCAGGCTCACTAAACGGGCACTCACCTGGAGATTCTGCTGTGCTCCTCACAGGACTCAGAATTGCCCCAATCCCTATTTAGGCCGGAGAGAACAAGCGCCACTGTGTGGTGAAAAGCCACATCAGTCTGGGAAGGATTTGCATCCTGCCACCAACCCCCCCCCCCCGCCCCCGCACTTCTGACCTGTAACAAAGTAACTCTGCATTTTAGTGGATTGACACTTTTGGACTTCAAAGGTTGGTTACATGGCCTTTCATTTAAACATGGATTACAGGTTTCAAAAGTGTTATTCTTCAGTACACTTAAAAAATAAATGTAGGTGGTATTTCCAATATAGCTCCTGGCTTCAAAAGCAAAATTAAAAAATGTACAAATAATATATTTCAAGTCATGAAAGTCAGTTTTATGCCTTGCATCTAAGACACTGAAGGGAAATAAAAAATCCTGCTAAACAATGTTTGCATCCAAATTTTTGAATGTGAGTATAGACCTAAAACATTAATATTAATTCAAATGAGAAATTAATAATTTGTGTTTTATCAGTCAGATTTTTTGTTTTTTCTGAGATGGAGTTTCATTCTGTTGCCCAGGCCAGAGTGTAATGGCCCCATCTCGACTCACTGCAACCTTCGCCCCCCAGGTTCAAGCAATTCTTTTCCCTCAGCCTCCCAAGTAGTTGGGATTACAGGCCTGCACTACCACAGCCAGCTAATTTTTGTATTTTTATCAGATACCACGTTGGTCAGCCTGGTCTTAAACTCCTGACCTCAAGTGATCCACCAACCTTGGCCTCCCAGAATGCTGGGATTACAGGTGTGAGCCACCATGTCTAGCCCATCAATCAGAATTTATTAAAGCTTTCTAAAATGGGAGATGGTAATTATATTTGGGGAAATGATAAAGAAATTTATTTTTACATTTGGCATTGGTTAAGTTTATTTTTGTTGTACTTTCATAAAAAGTAAGATGAAGATTTAGTTGAATAATGATAATTAGATAGGTATAAATATTACATCTATTTAGATCGATTAATGATAACTTTTAAAGTGCTATTACTTCTGGAGAGCTACATTCTCAAATACTTTCTGTGGATGCAAGTTCATTGTACACTTAGGTTACACAGAAACAAGTAGACTCCTCAACATTCTTTCAGTGGTGAGGCAAGCATGTTTCACAAGTCAGGGTCATGCTAAGGGAGCGAATACTTGTGCTTTTCCTTTCTCTCTCATCATCATCATTGTCGTCGTCCCTAATTGACGTTGATTTGAATGGAACAATTTTTAAAACATTTTAACTGACATAATTTTCTATATTTATCATATACAACATGATGCTTTAAATTACATATACATTGTGGAATGGCTAAATCAAGTTAACTAACATATGTATTACCTCACATAATTATCATTTTTTTTTTTTTGTGGTGAAAACACTGAAAATCTATTTGCTTGACAGTTTAAAATAACATGTTTTATTAACTGTAGTCACAAACTTATACAAGAGATCTCTTAAACTTATTTGAATGAAACAAATGGTAAACTGTAAGTTAGAGGTAGCATATTTAGTTAGAAGAGGCTAGAGTCGTGAGATTTTTTTTTCCCAACACTGCAATATTGTGTTTTTAATCAACAAAAAATTCCATTTTTTGCCTACAAAATGAAGCAGTTGGATGAGATTACACTCAAGTTTCCTAATGTATATAAAATTTTATGAGTTATCTACACTTTCATCTGCTTATCTGTGTACTCATGTATTTATCCAGCCACCATTTTAGTTGATAATCCTTCACCAAGGACTTGATATAGTAGAGACTGCCTAAACTGCTAAGAGTTTTTAAAGAATCTGTTCTAGACTTGAGCTGAGAAACCTAAGTTTGGTATAGTGCTTACAGTCCAGTCTGAGTTTTGTTTATTCAGCAAACATTTTACAAGCATTTACTATCTTCCAGGTACTCTTTTATTGTATAGCATATTATTCTGCTCCCAAAAGTTTTCAATTAATCTTCATAGAAATTTAGTACAAATGATTCACATACAAAATAACCATATAATCTGTGCCAGATCCATTCTCTACCCTCTGTAGCTTTGTCTTTGCTCCTGGAAGATGACCTTCATGGTCATTAATCAGGACTTTTTGGCTTTGGGTTAGTTTCAGCCAATAGGAGGTACCAGTGGGAGTTCAGGGAGCTGGAAGGAAGTGGTTAGAGGATTTATTCCTTGTCATCTTCCTACTGTCTGTGGTTTATAAGCGGCTGCATTCCTTAGGCCTGGCCGTCTTCTCATTCTCTCCAGGGTCTGGCAGTGCTATAGCACTCTCTCCAGGGTCTGGCAGTACTCCCTGTTCTAGGAATTGCTTCCTCCCTTACCTTCTTTTATGCCTAATGGTGTTAATGGCTTCCCACCGTTGCTAACCCAAGGATGCTTCACCATCCCATGTTGGTTTCCATTAATTTTGCCCATAGCTTTGTAAATAGTGCTTTTATTCTTTTTGGTCATTTCTTTTGAGTTTGCCATCTATTTGCTGCCATGACCCTGACCACTACATATAATCATTTAACATCTCAGATCACAATAAGTACACAAATAGTGTGTGATTCTAATAACCACACAACTTTTCACATGATGCTTGTTTAGGAAGAAAGGGAAATATGGAAAAAAGGGAAACTAATACCAGTTAATTATTTGATGAGCTAGAGAGGAGTAAGTTGGCTCAGGAGAATAAAAGAAGCACTTTATGCTATGTGTACTGGGCTTTGCATATTTTACTGAATAGCTTCAAAGCATCAAAAGAAATGCATCACATTGTCAGCAATTAGATTTTCCTCTGCTAACCCAAATAACAATATTTGTTCTGGGAGTTACTATCATCTAACCTAATTAACTTAATTCCCTAAATCAATATGTAGATAGTTGAAGAGTTTTGGCAAAATTCTTAAATATAATTTTCCAGGTTCTTTATTGCCAATTCTTCTTTTTAAATAAACACAGGCCCTTTATTTTAATAAAGCTGCCTGTGACCACTGGAAAAATAAAAGTCCTACTTAAACTGCTTTTCTCAGGTAAAGGATCAAAGAGTGTTAGAATTATTTAAAATGCCTCTGAATAATGGATAGCAGTAACAGCTAAACTATTTACAGAGATAAACAAAATGGAGTTTCGCTTAGGGCATTGTCTTCCCATTATTTATAAAATAAAAATGGCCGACTAGGATTTTTATTTTATTTTTATAAAATAAAAATCGGCCAAGATGGCCAATTAGGAGCAACTGCAGTCTGTGGATCTCATAGAGAAGAATGAAAATAGAGAGCGAATTTGGCACATTCAACTGAAATATCCAGATTTTAGCCCTGGGACTCAACTAGGCATCCAACTTGACCCGTGGAGAATGAAGGGAAGTAGGGTAGGGCAACAACGGTCTACCCCAGCGGTGTGATAGAGCCAAAGGAATCCTCATCCCCAGCCAAAGGAAGCTGTGAGTGATTGTGCAACCCTGCCTGGGAAACCACGCTTTTCCCACAGATCTTTGCAAACCACGGATCAGGAGATCCCTTCATGAGGCCATGCTACCAGGGCCTTTGGTTCAATACGCAGAGCTCTGCAAAGTCTCAGCAGAATAGTTGCTCAGGCTTACACAGAGGCTCACACAGATACCCAGGAGTTTTTCAGACAGCAGCCTCAGGAATCCTGACAAGGTGAGAGTTCCATCCTTAACGTCCCCTTACATCCAGGGAGCCAAGCAGTGTCATTCTGAAGGCCCCACTTCCCCTGCACCTCACAAGTTAAGAACCACTGGCTTGGAATTCCAATTGGCCAATGCAGCAGGCTGGAGAATGCCTGAGATGGACACATTTCCAGGAGGAAGGGTGGCTGACATTTTTGCCGTTTGGGCAACTCAGTTCTAGCTGCTGGTTCTGGGGAGTCTAGGCCCTGCAAGGAGGAGTCCCCCACAATGCAGCACAGCTGCTGTGCCAGAATGTGGCCAGACTGCTGCTGCTGCTTTTTCTTTTTTTTCTTTGAGATTAAGTTTTGTTCTTGTTACCCTGGAGTGCAATGGTGCAGTCTCAGCTCACTGCAACCTCCACCTCCCGGGTTCAAGTGATTCTCCTGCCTCAGCCTCCCAAATAGCTGGGATTACAGGTATGTGCCACCACA